AGGGCTACAGTCCATGGAGTCGCAAAGAGTCAGCCACAACTGAGCGCATCAGCACAGCACAGTTCAGGAGTGAATATGTGACTTAGAACTGGTCACGTGTTAAGTGAATGTCATAGTTCTCAAATGGCAGAGATGAATAAGGAATAGCAAATAAGACGAAATAAACTTTTACTAAGAGAGCCACATGGTCTGGTCTTTTCTTCTGAAATTGCTAATAGTAACAATGCTATGAACTTGGAACTGCTGAAAGGTGAGCACTTTGTGCCAGGAAATGATTCAGTATAGCAGAAGAAAGAACCGAGAGATGAAGAGAAGGAATAAGTCCCATTGATACTACCCAGTCCCTGGATCAAAGCATGACTGAAACCAATGGACCCATAGTCTTTGCAGTTATGTTAACCAATAGGTTTCCATAACATGAGCCATTTTAAATTAGGTTTTCTGTCATATGCAACAAAAGAATCCTGTATTATTTAGGTCTGTTGGGGCCAGTTACTAATGATCCTATGTGGCAAGGTTAGAAATTAAGATTTTCCCTATGATGGGCCACTGGGGAAAAGTAGTTTTTAAAGCAGATGTGGGACAGGATGAAAGTAATTTAGTGAATGTCATTTTTTTCATATCAATGGAGCAAATTACCAATAAGAATAATTTGTTTGAGCATATGGGAGTAGAAATGAGATCACAATCAGACTTCTTAGACTATGGACCCAAACTGCTTGCCCTCTAAGTATTTCTGTTGTAGCTGGAACTTAGTACTTCTCAAATGTGTAATCCTATCTTTTACTTAGTTCAAGTTAGACATAGAAATCAATTAGGCTTCGATCAAGTGAATTTCTCAGAGTATGGTCCATCTTCACAATATGTTCAAAATAATCTGGGCTTTCAATGAATATAGTAGTGATAAAGTTGTCTACCTTAACAGCCAATGAAATGTAGCAGAAATATAGAGTCACATGTATGATGCATCTAAAACCGCTCCCCTGATTATGCAATCCATGCTTCCGATGTATATCAATAGTAATATAATACCAATAACCTATCTGTAAAAAAGAAGGGGGTGAGGGGAAACTAAGAGATTTGAGCCTTACTTGAGGTTCCTTGACAATTTTGTAGGGGCTTCCTATGTGGCTCAGCAGTAAAGAATCCCCATGTCAACACAAGAGACACAGGAGACTCAGGATCGATCCCTGGGTTGGGAGATCCCCTGGAGGAGGAAATGGCAGCCCACTCCAGAATTCTTGCCTGGAAAATTCCATGAGCAGAGGAACCTGGCATACTACAGTCCATGGGGTTGTAAAGAGTCAGACACGACTGACCAACTGAGCACACATGGTTCCTTGACAGTTCTATATGGCTGAGTAAATCACATTTCCTTCTCTATGACTCAATTACCCTACTTAAAAGATAGGAAAATAATAATATTGAACTTAAAACACAAGAAGATTTAAATATGGCCTTGACTATCTTCATCTATGTTCATTGGATACTTGAAGATACATAGTAATAATAATAAAAGTTAAAATTGAGTACTTACTATGTTCTGGGCACAATTCTAAATGTTTTGCATGTATTAAACAATTTATGCCTTACCTCTTAGAGTCCTATGAGGCAAATATTATTATTATCCCCATTTTGTTGAGGCTTACAAAAGTTATGATTCTTGTCCAAAGCCCAAATCTAGCCATGATTTGAACCCAGGCAATTCTATACTATCTTTCTACTTATCTCATAGTGTGGCAGATAATATAAAAACAAAAATGCTGAATATCACTCATGATAGAAAACTGCAAATTAAAACTTCAACAAAATGCCACTTTCCATCGATAGGATTAGCAAATATTATTCACAAAGTTATTGGCAGGTCTCAGTTTCTCACTGGCTGTTGGTTGGAAACCAACCTCATAAGCCTTTCCACAGGTAGGGCATCGGAGTGTCTTCAAGACTTAGCTACTGGCTTCCTCCAGAACAAGTGACAGAAGAGAGAGAAAGTCCATGAGAGAAGGTGCAGGTTTTTTTAAAAACAACTTTTTGTTGTTGTTCAGTTGCTCAGTCGTGTCTGACTCTTTGTGATCCCATAGACTGCAGCAGGTCAGGCTTCCCTGTCTTTCACCATCTCCTGAAGTTTGTTAAAATTCATGTCCATTGAGTCGGTAATGCCTTCCAACCATCTCATCCTCTGTCACCCCCTTCTTCTCCCGCCTTCAACCTTTCCCAGCATCAGGGTCTTTTCAAATGAGTCGGCTCTTCGAATCAGATGACCAGTCAAAGTATTGGAGTTTCAGCTTAAGCATCAGTCCTTCCAACGAATATTCAGGACTGATTTCCTTTGGGATTGACTGTTTCAATTTCCTTGCAGTCCAAGGGACTCTCAAGCATCTTCTCTAGCACCACAGTTCAAAAGCATCAATTCTTCAACACTCAGCCTTTTTTATTGTCCAGCTCTCACAACCGTACATGACTACTGGAAAAACCATAGCTTTGACTAGACAGACATTTGTCGGCAAAGTAGTATCTGTGCTTTTTAATACTCTATCCAGGTTTGTCATTGCTTTTCTTCCAAGGAGTAAGCATCTTTTAATTTCATGGCTGCAGTCACCATCTGTAGTGATTTTGGAGCTCAAGAAAAGAAAGTCTGTCACTGTTTCCATTGTTTCCCCATCTATTTGCCATGAAGTGATGGGACTGGATGTCATGATCGTAGTTTTTTGAATGTTGACTTTTAAGCTAGCTTTTTCGTTCTCGCCTCCACTTTCATCAAGAGGCTCTTTAGTTCCTCTTCACTTTCTGCCATTAGAATGATATCATCTGCATATCTGAGGTTATTGATATTTCTCCCGGCATTCTTGATTCCAGCCCGTGTTTCATCCAGTCTGGCATTTCTCATGATGTGCTCTGCAAAGCCGGCTCAAACACCCGCCGCTCAGGAGGGCCTTCCCTGGTCACTGGATTGCAGCCCCTTCCAGCACCCCTAATCGCCTTTCCTGATTATCTTCTCTGCCTTTTTTTTTTCCAGCATGCTTTTTTTGTCATCTGGCTTACTCTATAATGTGCTTATTTGCTTACTGTTTGATTTCCTCCAGCAGAACATAAGCTCCATAATGGCTGAGGTTTTTTTTACCTTTTTCTCCCTACAGCTGATTCTTGATTCCTTAGAAGGGTGTCTGGTATATATCAGACAGTGATTAGATATTTGTTACAATCCTTAGTTTTGTGTCTTATGCTTTCAGAGTAAGAGAGAAGTAATCTAAAACATGCCAAAAATGAGGAATTTAGTCAGTTCCATCTATATTACAGTGTGTAGACCAAAGTTGGGCACCTTCCAAGTAGTTGATTTATTTGAAGTTCTAATCCTGTTGTATAATTTGCAAGCAGTCTCTGAAGATCCCAGTTGAAATATCAATATACTTTGGTGCATTTGAAGATTCTTCAGATGAGTGTTTTATCTGTTGGTCAAGATTGATTTGGTCCTTATATTACTTTTAATGTCTTTCAATTCTTTGTGCTGGAAACAAAGCCTCATGTAGCTCTTATAATAGTTGTAATTTTATAGGTCTTTTGTGATTATTTAATTAATGATGACCTCCCAGTTGACTTATGTATGTATATTCCATATGTATTTTTTTTTCCCCTTCAACACTTCATCTGCAGCATCTAGCAGGGGCCTCACACATAATGCACATTTATGAATTTTGAATAAAGTTTGGAATACACAGAACATTGATATTTAGGGAATTCTTATATTTGGTTAATTCTTTTAAACATTCTTTTTCCTGACAGAGTGCAGCCTCACTTGAAGAAATGTTTTGAAGGAATTGCAAAGGTGGAATTTACAGAAAGCTTGGACATTACTCACATGAAGAGTAGTGAGGGAGAGGTGGTGGAACTCGTAGACACCATTTCAACAGCCAAAGCCAGAGGCCAAGTGGAGAAGTGGCTGGTTGAGTTAGAGAGAGTTATGATTAAATCCATCCACAAGGTAGCTGGCTATATTTATTATTATTTCTAGTAAAGATGGTAGAATGTTAATGTATTACTGATAAATGCACTGTTATTTAGACAAACGGAGTCATAAATTATCAATTCAGTTATAATAGATTGAAGGCAAAGAAATGGTGTGTGGTACTGTAATGACCACTTGAAAAGCAATTCATATTATAAAACACTTGGGTTTTAGTCCGGAGTCTGCCCCGTTTCTTGTGTTTTTGGTATTAGATACACTTTGATCTACATGGTCTATCTGTAGTCTTGTCTAGGAAGCACCTCTCTATGGTTTCAAATCAGTCTCTGTGCTGCTTCCTTTTGTTCTGTGCATATGTAACATATCTACCAAAATGTTAGAAAATCGTTAACAGTTACTTCACATGTCACTTTAACACATTATTATCTCAGTTATTTGTAATATTTTTTTTGTTACTAGAGAATTTTAAGTCATGGAGACAAATAGATATTAGTTGAGCAGTTAAATTCATTTTTTACCATCGTGTGAACTTATCATTCAAGTTTCTTATCAAGAATAAAAATCATGATTCATCAGGGAAGCTTGAGAGCAAGAACTAGAAGGAAACATGGGATCAGGTCCTAATCAACACAGTTTTCACTAAGTTTTCAAATTCTATCATACATTATTGAAAAATTCACTGGAATCCAGGTATTTAATACACATCATGTACCTTAATGCCCCTTTCTTTCTCATGATACCTTATATATATNCTTTTCCAGGGGATCTTCTCAACCCAGGGATTGAACCCAGGTCTCCCGCATTGCTGCCAGATTCTTTACCATCTGAGCCACTAGGGAAGCTCCCATACAACAGGGAAGAGGGTATAAATACCAGAAGGCAGGAATCAGGGCCTTCTTAAAGGCTGCCTATGGCAGTGAGGATGTTGTCATGTTGCAATCCATGTTAGAAGTAAAAGCTTAAACCTCTAGCCTTGCCTTGTATAGCACCACTTATAAGGTAACAAAAACAAACATAAGGCTCACTTACGTGGTTTGGTATAAAGGACCCCCTCTCCCCCACTCAGAGGGAACTTTGGCAGGAGTCATTCTTACTTCAGCAGCACCTGATGTCCCTTGATCAGTATGGAAGTGAATATCTGGCCTTATGGGAATAAGGAAAAGAGGTTTAACACTTGGTTTTAAAAGAGAACATTGAAATAAACAAATGACTGACAGCAACTTGACTAAACAAAATATTAGCTATAAAGTTGAAAAACACTCACCTGACATAAATGCAATCACTCAGATGAATGATTATTTCCAAAAATATGGAAGCAACCCAGATGCCCTATGGAAGCAAACAAAAATAGTTATAGTACAATAAAGAAGAAAGTAACTGCAGCTTTCTCATGGTTTCGTCATGAATACTCAAATATTCACTCAGTTCTTTTGTCAGTAAACAAATATTAAAGCTAGAGATGGGACTTTTGCATTCAATTAATATTTTCTAAGTTTCCCTTTGAGATATGACACTATATTTAATGATATAATAAAGAAACATAAAACAAATACACAGTCCCTACCTTCAAAAACCTTTCATTCAAAGGCAAAAAAAAGACAAATGACAAACTGACATTTTTGTTTCATATTTGTTTTTAAAGGTAATAAACATGAGGAGCTATAAAAGTTCTTCTTTATATATATATTATTATATATGATATATAATTATATATATATATATGCCATTTGTTTTGAATTCTTTTTCCATCTCCATGTGTTTTTAGTTACTGATGAAAACCATTTATATACAAGATGACTTTTTCAATTAAAAAACACAAACACATTTTAGGGTACCATCTGTTTGGACTTATTTTCCTGGTTATTGTGTGTGGGTCAATTCAGTGGATAACAGTAGTAAGATGAACATTTGGATTTTTTAAATTTCTTTGAGAGATTAATTTGCATTGCATCATGTAACCGTGTCAAAAGAGGGCAAATTGAATCTCTGGTAAATTGAGAATACAAGAAAACATACAAAGATATCTTTACTAAACTTCATTCAGTGAAAATATTTCAGATCAACACATTGCAGAGCTTTTTACTTAAAATAGTTTTATAGAAGGTATAAATCCAAGACTAGATTAATTTATGATGAGTCAATAGTAAAGAATACAATTTCGTATATTTCCATTTCTGCAGATTATTAACAAGAAATATTAGTTTGTATATAATTTGCTATCTACACTAGATCAACTGAAAAGCAATAGTTAAATTATCCAGTTAGCAGTTTTTATACCCTTGAAAACTATCACACAAATAAATGACTTTCTCTCAAAGGAACTCCCAGGCACAGTAATGTCAAATGAGGCTGTAAGCTCTTAATATAAAAAGGAAGAAGAAGTTTAAAAAGTTTTAGGTAAAGATGACTTTCCTCCATCCTATAAAAAGTAGATATATACCATTTTATCTCCACTAAACCTGCAAAATATTAAGGGTAATAATACCAGATATTAAACAGTAAGTAGAGCCTCATGATGAAAGTGAAAGAAGAGAGTGAAAAAGTTGGCTTAAAGCTCAACATTCAGAAAACTAAGATCATGGCACCCCTTCATTTCATGCAAATAGATGGGGAAACAGTGGAATCAGTGAGGGATTTTATTTTGGGGGGGCTCCAAAATCACTGCAGATGGTGACTGCAGCCATGAAATTAAAAGACGCTTTCTCCTTGGAAGAAAAGTCATGACCAACCTAAACAGCATATTAAAAAGCAGAGATATTACTTCGCCAACAAAGGTCTGTCTAGTCAAGGCTATGGTTTTCCCAGTAGTCATGTACGGATGTGAGAGTTGGACTGTAAAGAAGGCTGAGCACCGAAGAATTGATGCTTTTGAACTGCGGTGTTGGAGGAGACTCTTGGGAGTCCCTTGGACTGCAAGGAGATCCAAGCAGTCCATCCTAAAGGAGATCAGTCCTGGGTGTTCATTGGAAGGACTGATGTTGAAGCTGAAACTCCAATACTTTGGCCACCTGATGCGAAGAGCTGACTCATTTGAAAAGACCCTGATGCTGGGAAAGATTGAGGGCAGGAGGAGAAGGGGACAACAGAGGATGAGATGGTTGGATGGCATCACCAACTCAGTGGACATGAGTTTGGGTAAACTCCAGGAGTTGGTGATGGACAAGGAGGTCTGGTGTGCTGCAGTCCATTGGGTCGCCAAAGAGTCGGACACAATTGAGCAACTAAACTGAACTGAACTGAAGAATTCTTATAAAAGTTGGGAAAAGTAGAAAACTGTTTGACAGTAATTATCTCACAACAGTAAATATTTGCATACTCTATAGCCCAACAACCCTACTTCTAGATATATGACCAAGAAAAATACTTGTATGTGTGACCATGAGGTGTACTTAAAAATTTTTATAGCAACAATGTTTATAATTATTTAAAAGTCTAGAAACAAGCCAACTATGTATCAACACAAAAATAAATTGTGATATATTCACACAATAGAATGCTACATGGTACTGAAAATCAACATTCATTATACACAACAACATGAATGAAACTTGGAAACAAAATGTTAAGTTAAAAGGGCAAATCCCAGAAAACTATATATTGAATGAGTGCACTTTCATAAAGCTCAAAAAATACAAATCAATGTATTGTTTCAGCACATATACATTTGTGATAAAACTAAAAAAAAAAGCAATGGAATGATCAGCACTAAGTTTAGGATACTGGTTACCTCTGAGTGCAAGGGGAAGAGATAGAGGAGAAACACAATTGTAGATACAATTTATGGGGAGATATTCTAGTTCTTGGGCTTCCCTGGTGGCTCAGAGGTTAAAGCGTCTGCCTGCAATGTGGGAGACCTGGGTTCGATCCCTGGGTTGGGAAGATTCCCTGGAGAAGGAAATGGCAACCCACATTTTCTTGCCTAGAAAATTCCATGGACGGAGGAGCCTGGTGGGCTACAGTCCATGGGCTCGCAAAGCGTCGGACACGACTGAGCGACTTCACTTCACTTCATTGTAGTTCTTGGCTTGAGTAGTTCATTATATGATTAAGCTTCATACCTAAAATATGTTACATATATTATTATACATTATTATATATTATTATATATACTATATACATGTACCTATATTGGCATGCCAATATATGGTCGTGGCTTGTGGGATCTTAGTTCCCCAACCAAGGATTGAACACAAGCCCTCCACAATGAAATCACCTAGTCCTAACCACTGGAGGGCCAGGGAATTCCCACTGTTACATATATCTTTGGCATGTATTTAAAAGAAAAAAAATTATGAGCATGATATAATTTATACTCATCTCTTCCAAGTAAGAGCTGAATCATATTCTGCATGTAAAGAAACTGAGAGTAATGATATCACTTACACATAGAATCTAAAAAAGTTAAACCTGTAAAAAAAAAAGAGAGTTAAAATGGTGGTTACCAGGGTTGGCGTTGGGATAGGGGATAAGAGTGATGGTGTTTAAGGGTACAAGCTTGAATGAGTAGTAAATAAACCATAGAGTCTAAGGCACAGTAGAGTCTAATGAATATAGACAGTACTATATTGTACTATATGAACTTCCCTGGTGGCTCAGTGATAGAATCTGCCTGCAATGTAGGAGCCACAGGTTCAATCCCTGGGTCAGGAAGTTCCGCTGGAGGAGGAAATGGCAACCCACTCCAGTATTCTTGCCTGGAAAATCCCATGGACAGAGGAGCCTGGTGGGTCACAGTGCATAGGGTCAGAAAGAGTCAGACATGACTGAAGCGATTTAGCGCCCACACAGGCACTATATGATATAATGTTATAACTACTGCTACCTTAGCAATCATTATTACAATATATAAATGTATCAAAGTAACACATTGCACACCTTAAACTTATACAATGTAACATGTCAAGTTCATTCAAAAAAAGAAAAAGAAAGAAATTTAGGGTGATATGGCCCTATCTTCAAATAAGGAATGAGACAGAGTTCTGCAAAACAGTACCCCCTCACAAATACTGATAGATTTTTAAAGACAGTAATCAGTCTAGGGCTTCCCTGGTGACTTGGTGGTGAAGAATCTGCCTGCTAACGCAGGAGACACAAGTTCCATCCCTGGTGAGATGGCCATGAACCCAAGGAGGATCCACAAGCCGCATGGGAAGTAAGCCCATGCGCCACAACTACTGAAGCCCAATGCCCCAGAGCCTGTGCTCTGCAACAGAAGTCACTACAGTGAGAATCCCACATACCACAACAAAGAGTGGTAGCCCTGGCTCACCACAGTTAGAGAAAATCCATGAGCAACAACAAAGACCTAGCACAGCCAAAAATAAATAAATTAATTAAATTTTAAAAAATCAATCTAATTGGAGCCAAAAGAATTTTAAGAGAAGTTAAATTCTAAGTGAATTAAATGGGAATTTTTTTAATGCATGAATGGATTGTGTGATAAACTGAATCTCTTACCTGCCAGGAAATGATGATCCAAGATGGGAATCTACCACCACTAGGTGAAATTAAAACTTCCAGAGATAAAAGGAGCAAGCCATTTTGCAGGAAAACTGGAGGTTCAGAATACAATTCTCGGGATAAAATGAACAAAAAAATACAAAGGCTAAATGGGTTAATTCTTTTTTTTTCTTTTTACACTTTTCTTTAACTTAGACTGTGCAGCAGGGAGGGGGAAGGGACGGAAATAATAGAGATAATTAAGACACAGTCCGAACTCTCAAGGAATTCATATTCGAGTAATCAGAGAAAAACTTTACAATGTGTAAATGGAAGAGATACTTCTCTACAGAACCTGTAAAGAGTTGTTTCAATAGAGTAAATGGCCCAAAACCTAGAAAAGGAAAGAATACTTGGAGGTTTTCAAGAAGAATGTAGTTGGCTAATGTAGCAGTGAGAAAGAGGACAGCCTTAATCTCAGGCCAACACCCATGAGCCTGAAATCAGAAGGGGAAAAAAAAAATAATGGAGAACTTGGCTTGGACCTTGAGAGAAGGGCAAGAAGAGTTGGTGCTACAGTGGGTGGGAGTTCACATTTGTGGAATACTTACTGTACACCAGGTCCTCTTCCAAATGCTTTTTATGAATTAATTAATTTAACCCATACCAATATAGCTATGAGGCAGTTGGTATTATTACCCTCATTTGATAAATGAGGAAACTGGGACCTATAGAGGTTAAGTAATTGGCCAGTCACAAAGTTAGGAATTTGAAAGCAGAGTTTTGAATCTAGGAGATATGATTACTCAGCCCACATTCTTGACCACTACACTGATAAGAGGAGGTTTTACCTAACTAAAAATTACAGGAAATAGAAGAGCTAAAAAAGTAGTTCATCACATGAATTCATTAAAGTTTGTTTACATACAGTTGAGATAAATTGTAAATATTAAGATCTTTACCCCAAAACATTGTTACATCTTGGTAAATATTAGTGGTATGCCTCAAATTTTTGTACTGGGCACTAGGAATATGGAATATTGCAGAACTAGTGGAGAAACTTATTCAGTTGTGTCCAACTCTTTGGGACCTATGGACTGTAGCCTACCAGGCTCCTCTGTCCATGGGGATTCTCCAGGCAAGAATACTGGAGTGTGCTGCCATTTCCTTCTACAGGGGATCTTCCCAACCCCGGGATCAAACCCCTGTCTCCCACATTGCAGGCAGACTCTTTACCCTCTGAACCACCAGGAAGCCCAAAAAATATCTTCACGATCCAGATAATCATGATGGTGTGATCACTCACCTAGAGCCAGACATCCTGGAATGTGAAGTCAAGTGTGCCTTAGGAAGCATCACTATGAACAAAGCTAGTGGAGGTGATGGAATTCCAGTTGAGCTATTTCAAATCCTGGAAGATGATGCTGTGAAAGTGCTGCACTCAATATGCCAGCAAATTTGGAAAACTCAGCAGTGACCACAGGACTGGAAAAGGTCAGTTTTCATTCCAATCCCAAAGAAAGGCAATGCCAAAGAATACTCAAACTACCACACAATTGCACTCATCTCACATGTTAGTAAAGTAATGTTCAAAATTCTCCAAGCCAGGCTTCAGCAATACATGAACCATGAACTTCTAGATGTTCAAGCCGGATTTAGAAAAGGCAGAGGAACCAGAGATCAAATTGCCAACATCTGCTGGATCATAGACCCACTCCAGTACTCTTGCCTGGAAAAACCCATGGACGGAGGAGCCTGGTAGGCTGCAGTCCATGGGGTCGCTAAGAGTCGGACAAGATTGAGCAACTTCACTTTCACTTTTCACTTTCATGCATTGGAGAAGGAAATGGCAACCCACTCCAGTGTTCTTGCCTGGAGAATCCCAGGGACGGGGGAGCCTGGTGGGCTGCCGTCTATGGGGTCGCACAGAGTCGGACATGACTGAAGCAACTTAGCAGCAGCAGCAGCAGAAGCTGGATCATAGAAAAAGCAAGAGAGTTCCAGAAAAACATCTATTCCTGCTTTACTGACTATGCCAAAGCATTTGACTGTGTGGATCACAAAAAACTGTGGAAAATTCTGAAAGAGATGGGAATACCAGACCACCTGACCTGCCTCTTGAGAAACCTGTATGTAGGTCAGGAAGCAACAGTTAGAACTGGACATGGAACAACAGATTGGTTCCAAATAGGAAAAGGAGTACCTCAAGGCTGTATATTGTCACCCCACTTATTTAACTTATATGCAGAGTACATCATGAGAAATGCTGGGCTAGATGAAGCACAAGCTGGAATCAAGATTGCCAGGAGAAATATCAATAACCTCAGATATGCAGATGACCCTTATGGCAGAAAGTGAAGAAGAACTAAAGAGCCTCTTGATGAAAGTGAAAGACGAGAGTGAAAAAGTTGGCTTAAAGCTTAACATTCAGAAAACTAAGATCATGGCATCTGGTCCCATCACTTCATGGCAAATAGATGGGGAGACAGTGGAAACAGTGTCAGACTTTATTTTCTTGGGCTCCAAAAGTACTGCAGATGGTGACTACAGCCATGAAATTAAAAGACATTTGCTCCTTGGAAGAAAAGTTATGACCAACCTAGACAGCATATTAAAAAGCAGACATTACTTTGCCAACAAAGGTCCATCTACTCAAAGCTATGGTTTTTCCTGTGGTCATGTATGAGAGTTGGACTGTAAAGAAGGCTGAGCACTGAAGAATTGATGCTTTTGAACTGTGGTGTTGGAGAAGACTCTTGAGAGTCCCTTGGACTGCAAGGAGATCCAAGCAGTCTACCCTAAAGGAGCTCAGTCCTGGGTGTTCATTGGAAGGACTGATGTTGAAGCTGAAACTCCAATACTTTGGCCACCTGATGCGAAGAGCTGACTCATTTGAAAAGACCCTGATGCTGAGAAAGATTGAGGGCAGGAGGAGAATGGGATGACAGAGGATGAGATGGTTGGATGGCCTCACTGACTCAGTGGACATGAGTTTGGGTAAACTCTGGGAGTTGGTGATGGACAGGGGGGCCTGGTGTGCTACAGTCCATGGGGGAGCAAAGAGTTGGACACAACTGAGCGACTGAACTGAACTGAAGTAGAGAAAAGCTGTGTCTCCAGGGCATGGTCTTAAAAAAAAATCTCATCTTTTGGATCCCTCAGCAGACAGAAAATTACACAAGGTAAGCCTTGGTAAAGCCCTCAGTTTCTCAAATAATAAACTGATGTACTTTACAGTTAGTCTCAACAACACACACATATTTATTCAGTCTCTCTACCTTCTCAGCAATTTAATAACTGACTTGTTGGCTCATTTGCTTTAGCAATATGCTAATGAGGTAAAATTGATGGGTTTAATTCCTTTTTAGATCTAGTGGCCAGGAACTGCACCCCTAAACTTAGCATACAATGAGTTGTTGAGTGACCCCAGAGAAATTGTGTTTGACTCAGAATGTCTATCAGCATTACACAGAAGATAATGCTTTACTTAGTGTGTGTCAGAACCTTCATCTTTGTATTTAAGGACAACACATTAATTTTCACATAGAACAACTAAAGTGATTTATTTAATGTTTTACAATGGTTCTCTGGAACAATCAAGAATAGATTCTTGGAAAGTTCAATGTAATATCTTACTCAAATTGACCCTACCTATAATAGAGTCTTTGCCCAACTTCATGATATATACTCAATCAATCTTGTGACTTTAGGTACTCAACAAATAATAAGTAAACAAATAATAGCAGAAACTATTGTAGTTTGTAATTACTTATGGAGGAACACTTATCTGGAGACAAACTGATGAAAACATAATTCCAACCCCAAAGCATAAACTTGGAATGCAAACTAGTACAGCCGTTATGAAGAACAGTGTGGAGATTTCTTAAAAAACTGGAATTAGAACTGCCATATGACCCAGCAATCCCACTTCTGGGCATACACACTGAGGAAATCAGATCTGAAAGAGACATGTGCGCCCCAATGTTCATCACAGCACTATTTATAATAGCCAGGACATGGAAGCAACCTAGATGCCCATCAGCAGACGAATGGATAAGGAAGCTGTGGTACATAAATACCATGGAATATTATTCAGCCATTAAAAAGAATTTATTTGAACCAGTTCTAATGAGATGGATGAAACTGGAGCCCATTATACAGAGTGAAGTAAGCCAGAAAGATAAAGACCAATATAGTATACTAACATATATATATATATGGAATTTAGAAAGATGGTAATGATAACCCTATATGTAAAACAGAAAAAGAGACACAGATGTATAGAACAGACTTTTGGACTCTGTGGGAGAAGGTGAGGGTGGGATGTTTTGAGAGAACAGCATCGAAACATGTATATTATCTAGGGTGAAACAGATCACCAGCCCAGGTTGGATGCATGAGACAAGTGCTTGGGCCTGGTGCACTGGGAAGACCCAGAGGAATCGGGTGGAAAGGGAGGTGGGAGGGGGGATCGGGATGGGGAATACATGTAAATCCATGGCTGATTCATGTCAATGTATGACAAAACCCACTACAATATTGTAAAGTAATTAGCCTCCAACTAATAAAAATAAATGAAAAAAATGCCTAGAATAAAATTATCTGAAGTAAGCAATGTAATTCATTGAGAGAAACTTAACAATGCAGTAACAGAGGTTTATTTGGCACATGCTACTGCTCAATAAACTAGATCCAAACTTTTTATGTGATCTGACATCTGACAAGACCACAATAATAAGGGAGGTGTCTCATAATTGTCCAAATATATTCAAGTGAAAAGGATGGTGAAAGATAATGCTAATCTGGAAACTTATCAGAATGAGAATGAGAATAAGTAAATTTCCAATGTCAACTTGAAATAGAAATGGCTGAAATTATAGCAGGAGCAAATAAAATGAAAAAAGTTATTGATAGATATTAGCTTATAAATAAAATGCAAAGTTGTGACATCTGATACTTTAGAGCAGAAGGGAGAAACCACACTCTTAGAAAGGGCTTATAGTCAAAACTTCTCCAAGGAAGAAGGGAGGGTGAAAAGGATAGAAAGAGGGAGAGTTAGTTTAGTGGCAAAGGTTGCAAACTATGAAGGAAAATTGTCTATGTTCAGTTCTTAGCTTTGTCACTTAGTGCTGTGCTTAGGTGCTCAGTTGTGTCCGACTCTTTGTGACCCTGTGGACTGCACCCCTAGGCTTCTCTGTCCATAGGGATTCTCCAGGCTAGAAAACTGGAGTGGGTTGCCATATCCTCCTCCAGGGGATCTTCCCAACCCAGGGATTGAATCCAGGTTTCCTGCATTGCAGGCAGATTCTGTACCATCTGAGCTACCAGGGAAGTGTCACTTAGTAGCTGTGTGATTTTTAGCAGGTTTCTTAATCTCTGTGTAGCTCAATTTTCTCATCTATAAAACGAGAATAACAGAACTTACTCAACAACTCCTCATAACAACTTAAGGTTGTTGTGAGGATTTTATGAGATAATAGAGAGTATTTACACAGTGCTAGGCATATAATAAGAGCATTAATAAACACTGTACTTTTGAATGAAAATATGTAAAGACTAACATCAATTTGATATTTAATCAGAGAACCAAGAAGAAATGTGATACAGGTCTACAATCTTTTATCCCAAATCCTTGAGGCCAGATGTGTTTCTGAATTTAAATTCCTTTCATATTTTAGGAATGTAAGGTATTATGCTACCTATGTTTTACTTAACTTAGATTGTCCTGGGCAGCATACCTTAATCAAACACATATTTCCATAATGAAATGTACCAGTAGGCACACCAAGTGGAATTAATGAAGACTTTAAACAGTCATGTCAATTCAGATCCATTTTTGCCACAAAATGAATTAAGAAAAAAGTTTTTTGATTTTGGAACTGAAGATAACGAGGGACTATGAAGCTTTGTCTGAAGAGCCATAAGCCTTTATTGTATTAAATAATGGAATAATAATCATGGGAAATCTAGAGCAATGCCGGGATTAAATGAAAAACTTTTCTGAAAACCTAATGAGTTTCTTTTTTCTCTTTAGAAAAAAAAATGTATACCTAATATGAAGTATACCTGGATTATACACATTACCTGAATTATACTTGAGTGACTGACTTTGTGGCATAAATAAACAAATAAACACCTAGAACATAACACCTGGAACATCTCCCCAGATCTTCCCATGACTACTTCAGATCTCTGATCATATGTTACCTTTTCAGAGAGATTTCTTTGATCACTCTATTTAAAATGTCAAGTGGAAGACATGCACATACACATTCATACACAATCACACAGAAAACTCTTTCCTCTTACCTGTATTTTTTTTCTTTTTAACACTTATTATTTAGCACCATATTATATATGAGTTTATTACATTATTTGTCTTGCTAGACTGGAAACTCCAAGAGAGCAAGGATTTTGTTTTGTTCAACACCTAAAACAATGTCTGGCAAATAGGCATTGATACTGTTCAATAAATGACTCAAGAAAATAAGGCTGATTGATAAATAGCGGTGGGTTCCAAGAACAAGTTCTGAAGTAGCAGCTAATATTTATTTTCCAAAAGGAAGTTCAAAGGAAAAAAAAAGCCATCTAAACTAAGCATTAGCTGTAATACACTTATGTAATATGTATATTAATGAGATTCTAAAACAGTAATTAAAAACATTTCTTTATTCACATACTTATCAAGTAAAATTGATTTATCAATAATATCTAGAAAGTAAAAACTAATCATTCAACTATATTTACAGTTAGCAATTAATTTTGAGTAAGCAGACAACAAAGAGGACAGTGAAAAAGTTGGCTTAAAGCTCAACATTCAGAAAACTAAGATCATGGCATCTGGTCCCATCGCTTCATGGCAAATAGATGGGGAAACAGTGGAAACAGTTGTTGACTTTATTTTTCTGGGCTCCAAAACCACTGCAGATGGTGATTGCAGCCATGAAATTAAAAGATCTTACTCCTTGGAAGGAAAGTTATGACCTAGACAGCATACTAAAAAGCAGAGACATTACTTTGCCAACAAAGGTCCATCTACTCAAGGGTATGGTTTTTCCAGTGGTCATATGTGGGTGTGAGAGCTGGACTGTAAAGAAAGCTGAGCACCGAAAAATTGATGCTTTTGAACTGTGGTGTTTGAGAAGACTCCCTTGGATTGCAAGGAGATCCAAGCAGTCCACCCTAAAAGAGCTCAGTCCTGGGTGTTCACTGGAAGGACTGATGTTGAAGCTGAAACTCCAATACTTTGGCCATCTGATGTAAAGAGCTGATTCATTGGAAAAGACCCTGATGCTGGGAAAGATTGAGGGCAGGAGAATGGGACGACAGAGGATGAGATGGTTGGATGGCATCACTGACTCAATAGACATGGGTTTGGGCGGACTCCGGGAGTTGGTGATGGACAGGAAGGCCTGGCGTGCTGCGGTTCATGGGGTCACAAAGAGTCGGACACGACTGAGTGAACTGAACTGAACTGAACTGAAAGCAGACACGAAGAAAAGTTCTACTTGAAAGACAAAAACTCTACATAACACACAGTATTAAAAGAACTCCCTCTGTATTTTTCCCATGATGTATTTAGATTTTCCCCTTGACATATTTTATTCACCACAGAAATAAACACAACTGATTTTCATCAAACTGCCAAGTGCTACTGGACTGGGTTGTAAAAATGGCCTAAATTGGCCTCAGACGTATGTACATACCTACTCATGAATATATGTATTCAGCCTTGCTCCATGTAATAAAATGGCAACATGTTGATAACCTAAAGTAAGCAAGCAAAGGAGTTTTGGGGTCACCATAAAATGTGCAACAAAGTTCAGTGGTACATTCTAGTAGAGTAGATCCACTCTTTAGAAAGGCCCAGCTTTCTTCTCCAACTCCAACTTCATTCATATATTAGAGTTGGGAATTACTTTTTAAAAAATTATTATTTTATTATTTCTGTTTTATTTGTAGCTGCACTGTTTCTTCATTGCATCACACAGGCTTCTCTTCTAGCTGTGGTATACAGGCTTAGTTGCCCTGTGCTACGTGGGATCATAGTTCCCCAACCAGGAATTCAACCCAGGTCTCCTGCATTGAAGCCATATTCTTTTATCATCTGAGCCACCAGGGAAGCCCTAACAGTATTCTTAATGGCTTTCAAATTCTGTTACCTCAGATTACACAAGGATTTTTCTATTAGAATTACTTGAAAAAAAAAAAAAAGAAACTGAGATTGTTTATATACTTCCAACAGGACAAGGGACCTCTGAAATAAGATTAATTAGCACACATATCTGGACCAGGTGTTGTTAACCAATGACTCTATGATGGAAGGAGGTAGGTAAAAAAGTTGAAGTCAGACAATTGATACAAAACAAGATTAGAGACTCACAGTTACATATAATTTGACAAAGAGGTCAAGCTTAAATAGTTACTGGCCCTTTTGCTCTCAAGTTGCATATTATTATTTAGTGGGCTACATTTTAGTGATATTGTGGGTAAGAGGATGAGGAGTAATTTTTCCACAGTTCTATACCCTCAACAGAGAGAATCCTGAGAACTGCTTCTGAGAACTGGTTGAATATCATGTGAGCACTTAAGGCATAAAGGGTCCACTTCAATAACTCAGGCACCAACAAAGAAAGCTACTCTTGTTTACATGAAAATTCAAGATCACTAGCATAGTCTGTTTCAGGGCACATATGAACTATACAAGCCTCATGCTCCTGACCCTTGTCTTCAAGCCCCTAAACTGGAATAAAACCAATAAATGCCTGAGGAACCACTTCACACCCCAAACACGTGCAAACTTTGTTCCACACAACACTTCACTGCCAAAATGGAGTTGGCAGAAGTTTGGAGCTAAGGCCCCCAGGCTGCATGATTTGCTGGCGCAAGAGAGCTTAAAAATCTTAACATAATACTGCTGAGTTTGAGTTCTACCAATTTGCTTGAGACTCCTTCTCCAAGTTTGATTTGAGAAAAATGGAAGCTGCCATCAAGAAAGACTTTATTAACACTTCAACACCTACTCAGAAATGATTTGATTTCCCACCCCTGATGGTCATACCTCTATTTTTTGGTGATTGTATTTATAATTGTAAATCTAATGCAGTCAATTTTGAAATGCATGTAAAGTCAATTTTGCTTTGTTGCTTGGATATAGGGGTACAGGAAGAACTATTGTAAATATGCAAGATTACAACAAAGTTCTACTTAGGAAACACTTCATCCAAATAACCCCCATAGAGCCCAATTCATTACCCTCAAAAAAATATGGGAGAAATTAAAATACAGAATATTTGTAAATTACTATTATTTTACACTTGTTTTAGTTTGTCTTTTCACTTGAGTTTGAGCAATGATTTTTTTTTTTTTACATAAAAAATATAGGAAGCAAGAAAAGAGGCCAAGATGAGTTATTCTTTTCCACAAGGGTCAACAAAAAGGTCCCATTCAGGACCTTCGTAAGTTTGATGCAATGCAATTAGTGAGGATAATTGCAACTGAATTTAATAATTATAGTGACTACTGGCAACTATACCAGTCACAACTATAAACTTCTAAATACTTGAAAAATATGTAGTATTAAGAAACTATGGTTTGCTTTGGAAGGTTATCTTGTGCTGTTTCAATATGAGATCTTTAAAGATGCTACTTTCTCCTCATATAGCTAAAAACTAAAAATAAATTTATAAGAAACCCCCACACACCTTTATAATCTTTTCCCTTAGTAACTCCATATATTTTATTCATTTCTCTGGAAACCTGTTTTTCCTCCTCTGGAGCCTCCTAAGTATTCTAATTCTCAGCTATGATTTCATATTTTCACCAGCTTCTAATCTTCACAATATAGTTGGAAGCACTTACGACAAAACACTCTAGGATATCAAGTTGCAGAAGACTGTAGTTTTGAACATATTTATATAGTAGTGCTGCCACCTAAAGATGAGGTGAATAAAGAAGCAATTCAAAGGAAATGACCCACCATTCTGAAGCCTGTCACAGAAATTTTCTCATTTCTAACTAGGAATTAATAAACATTTTGCTATTTTGTTAATATGGAAGTTTGTTCCACAATAAATTATTGCTGAATTGTAATTTTCTATGGGAGAAGTTTTCAAACTTTTTAGTGATAAGTAATTTGGGGTCTCCAGGAATATGTCTCCAAACTTGTTTCTCTCAGACATTAGGTACTGCCTACAATACATAAGTGGAGGGGGGTGCGCGGCGGGAACCACAAGATACCCAAAAGTAAACTACTGAGAAATCTCTGGTTTAGTGGATAAAGCAGGTATTAATGGGCCTATGGTGCTTCCTTTCCTACATCTGTGACAGACTGCTTGCAGCTCTCAGCAACTGACATATTTCTGCAGCTCCATTTTCTCATCAATAAAATGGGGTTAATTTCACCTCTCTCCTACTTGCCTCCAAGACTGAGCTAGATAAGCTTCTTGCAAAAGTCCTAAGTGAGTTTATAAGCCTACTCTCAAAAACAAAACATAAAAAATCTATTGCCTAATAAAAAGAGTATCTCAGTGTATTGCAAAGTTACCTCAAAATAAAATATACTCAAATAAGCTAAAACATTGACTAAGTTTCCTTAAATCACAGATTGACTTTTCAGAGAGCTATTTAAATAATAAAAACGTAAGTAAGGCTGTTTTCTGCTTCTTTTGCAGCCAATCATTTTCAACTGATCCGTCTTCTATGTACGCAGTGTTGCAAGAATGAGATGTAACAGCATACAAAGTGAAGGAAAAAGTTAACTTGTACCAAAAGTCTGTCAAAGCTGGTAAGATTTCAAGAAAACTTTTAGAAGGACATTTTGTAGTTTTGCATTTAACCCTAGCATAGCAATTTATGAAAATTAACTCATCCGTTTTACTCTCTCCCTCTCGGCCGAAGGACGCATAAATATTATTTATCAGGGTTTTGTCCTTAGTCACAGTCCCTCAAAGGGGCCCAGTTTCACCTACACTGCGTGGGAGGCTGGGCAGCAACCCCACGCTTCCTGTCAAAGATTCCTGGGGCTAGAGCCTGAACCTGGTCTAGCCCCTTTCTTCTCTCTGCTAATCCTGCCCTTCCAGCCCCTCTCGGCTGGCGTCTGAAGGCCAAGGTGAGACCCTCCCGGGAGATGAAAGGCCTGTCGCCTCCTAAGAGATGCAAGCGGAACGGTGGAGAGTGGGGGGGGGGTGGGGCGCGGGTGACAGGGTGGTAGCGACACTGACTACGACGCTAAGGGCCCTAAGTTGGGAGCTGACGCAGGCCCTACAGGGTTCTGTCCCCGCCTGAGCCTGGCTTCCGCCCTCAGAGCCCAACAACCGAGAAGTCCTCCCGGGGGCGCTACAGACGGTGGCTAGAGGAAGGGCGGGCAAAAAGGCCGCAGGGAGCCCCCTCCTCAGACGCGCCTTAAGGCCTGGGCCGTGGGCTGTTGACGCGCCAACGGCTGGGAGGGCGCGCGCACGCGCGAGAGGGAGGGCGGAGGGAACGCGCTCGGCGGCCGCCGCCGCGGCAACTGAAACGGAGGGACGCGAGGGCGGAGGGCGCGAGCCACGGGAGGAGGGTGGGGGGGGAGATGGTGGGTAGCGGGGAGCGCGCGCTGACGTCGCCCGGAGTCACGCACAGAGCGCCGGGTTACGCGCCGACGTCTGGCTGCCACGACTTGCCGTCTGCGGCGGCGGCGGCGGCGGCGGCAGCGAGCGGATCCCGCAGGGGAAGGAGGAGGAGGAGGGAGAGTCAAGGGGGCTGTGAGTGAGCGGGAGAGGCAGGGTGTGAGCCGGACTTGCCAGCGGGAGGGAGAACGAGCGAGAGCCGAGCCAGCCATCCGAGCCGCCTCCTCCTCCTCCCCTCGGCGTCCCGCCCCCGCCTGCCAGCCCGCCCTTCTCCCTCCTCAGCCGGCAGAGCCCGAGTGAGGCGCAGCTCGGCTCGCGCCGCTGTCCAGGACAGGTGTGCGCGCGCGCGCCCTGCTCCCCTCCCCCTTTCCTCGCGCCTGCCTAGCGCCTGCCTCGCGCGCGCCCTCCCTCCCTCCAGCCCGCGCCCTCCCTCACCTGCGGCAGGACAGCGCCCGCCCGCCCGGGTAAGCCCCTCGCGACCTTCTCTGCTGCCACTGCCACAGTTTGAGGTGCCGCCCACCTTGTTCCTTCTGATTGCCCTCTTATACCCCAGGAATAATTACTGTACCGTTGTAGACATCCCCTCACCCTCCCTCCGGGGACCCTGGCAGTGCAGCAAAGCGGCCCCCCTCCCTCCGAAGCGCACGAACGAACGAACTCCCTCCCACCTCCAAAAAAAGAAAATCACACGCCCCTTTAAAAAAAAGAAAACAATCCTACCTCCGCAGGCGCTGGAGACCACCAGTGGTACCGTTTGCTTAGAAATCCCTAAGCCTCGTTTCCCCTGGCCACCTTAGCCTGGGGCCTGGGACAGTGCGCCAAACCTGGCCGACACTCCCTGCACAGCACCCCTGGCTGGAGGGGAGAGGAAGGAGGGTTCAAGGCTCCACTACCAACCCCTCCTTTCTCTGTTCAATCCCCACCCCACCCCCGCAATGCATACACCCGCCCAGTATGCGTTGCAAAAATAAAGAAGAATACATTGGTGCTGACAGCGCAAATGAAGCCAGGCCCAGGGATGGGTGGCCCGGACAAGGCATTTTTGCTGCCCCACAGAGCTAGGTCAGCTGCATAGTCTCCTCTGCTTTTGTCCGAGGGCAAAAGGGACGGATGTGAAGTTGGAGGGTCTTCCCTTTGAGCGACGGTAGGCCCCGGCAGCGGCTGAGATGTCAATGGGGAAAGGGACCCCCACAAATCTATCTGCCTTGAGCCTGAATTCGGATAGAGAAAGGCTAAGAGTCCGGCTGGGAGAACGTTGGTTCGTTGCTGTCTACCCCTGAATAAATGCTACTTTAATTTCCGTTGTCTCTGCGGGACCCTCTTGAGGCTTCTAATTTCGTTCTTGTTTGGGCCCCTTACATTTCGGTCGGACCAGGCGTTTGGGGACAGCTTTTTGCAGCGGTGTCTGCGCTTGAGTCCCGTGTCCTTGGAAGGGAAGCCCCAGTGCTTTATAATAGGCTGAATTTGGTTTGACATCTTTTGGTTGACTGTCAGAGGAGGAAAAGGAATTTTTTGATTACTTCAAGACCCTCACTGCTCCCCGCCCAAACTGACGTTTTCGAATTGCGGCTTTGAAAATTGGAGTGTTGACTAGAGTGTGGAAAGAGTTGCTGATTTCATTCCTTTGGGTACTAGTAAAATCATTTAAGAATTAGACGAAAGAGAGTTATTGACATTTGCATCGGTTCTATTTGGATCTTTTGGGTATATAAAATGTCGGGTTCTCTGAATCTTTTATCGAATTTAGAGTGTGTGCTACATTTATTTAATTCTTCTGCAAATGCTTAAAATAACATTTTGTGAAACGTGAGGATTCTATCACATGGATTGTTCTCTTCAGATTTTAAATGTTTAGTTCATATATTTAACCCTAAACATTGAAATAGCATTGGAGAGGCATAGTTTTAAAGATTAAGTAAGCTGTAGAAAGGGGATAGACTTTTAAAAAATGATCGTTGAAATACTATTAGTCGTTGTTGTTAAAATGTTAAGATTTATTTGAGAGTTTCCCTTAATTTTCCCGATAGCTAGCCATGAGAAGAAATGGGTAATTCCTCCAGTTTTGAACAGTTGCAGTACAACATTCCAGTTAGTTTTAATGATTTGAGTATTGAAGATAATTGTTGTCTGGTTTAAAACAGGCATTTAACCTAAGTAGCACTTGAAAACACAAGTACTAATGGTTTTGCTGCTTTTTTATTTGGGAAATATGTGATTCTGTGAAATATTAATGAGTATATTGTTTCTGTTGGAAACTCCATAATCAAGAGTTTATTACCCAGAGGTAGATTCCCTCTCTCCAAGTTTATTTTGTAAATGTGTGTTAACTTTTACTTTTAGAATTAGATTATTTCAGACTCATCCCTAGTTCAGGCTGAGGAAAATGAGGGTTTTTTTTTTTCCTTCTTGTTCAGCCTAGTATCTATTTCTCTAGCAAACAATTTTTTGTTGTTAAGAGTTTGTTAAAGATGTAGAAATAGAGGAATTAAAGATAAAGCAATCTCAATTCTCTTCAAAATGTGTATTGTTAATAAGAGAGCACACTAAATCTAGAGATGTTTATCAGGTTTTAAAAATGCAAGTAAACTTTGAGGAGAAAGGGAATTTTTTTATGTTTTTTTCATTAACACATATTTTGTGCATATTAATGTATTTCGTTTTCCCTGTGTCTTTCTTACATTGTGTTGAAACTATAATTTTAATTCTGCAACTATTTGTTTTAAAATAACAATGCAAACATCTAGACACTAGAATTGGCTTTTCATTTACCAAGTTAGCATGTTGTCTTGGTAATTAACAAATGGCTAGATGTGTTTTTAAATCCACAAGTTTGCTCATGGATTTTCTGTGTTAGTATGCAAATCTAACTTTGAAATTCTGTTTAAGGTTCTAACCTCTTTGTTTTAAGACTTTTCTCTCAGACACCCTTTTAAGGGTACTAAGGAAAGCCGCCTTTCCCCACCTCTCCCATTCTGACCAAAAGTCCACACTCACAGGCTTATCCTGAAATAAACTCTCTTGTTTGAGTAGTGAAAATGTGTTAAATATCCTATTTATCATTGTATTATTTTGGGAAAGGCACTATTAACCTTGGTTGCTTTTAGATACATTTACAAACTAGGCAAGAAGCTAGTATATAATGGCAAAATTTTATACATATGTAATAAAAAGCATGAAATAAATACATATTTATGTGGAGAGTTCCAGGTCTCAGTTGTTAGCTGATTTGAGCTTAAAATTCCCAGTTTATGCGTGCAAATGATATTTAACTTGTGTTTTGTCTAAAAACTTTATCAGTTGCCTCTGTGCTAGGAAACTAAGACATCAGTACCTGGTGACCATCATTTTTTTCAGAAAATAAGGGCATTCCCAAATTTAAACCACTTCAGAACCCTGGACGTAAACATTTGGGACAGGGAAAGAAATTTAGACCCCAGAATTGGTTCAGGAAGGCAGGCAGTTTCAAGCTCTACTTTTTGGTTCTGGGGGAAGCGATTTTTTAGTATGGAAGAGTGACAAGGACTGGCAGCCGCGTGCTCTCTCCTCGCAGCCCCACTGGCCTTTGCTGCTTTGAGCTCTCCGGAGGGGACAAGCGCTTGGTTCAGTGCGAGGTAAAATCACGAGAAAGAATAGCGGCTCTTCTAGATCGGGTCTTAACCAGGTCGTAGTAGTCTCAACTTACAGGTGGGAGCGTAATGCCCCGCCCAGCTCTGTGCGGAGACCACGCCACGCTGCCTTTGCGACCCTGTTTGGGACGGGGTCTATCCAGGGTCCTGATCGCTACCATGCAAACCTAGAGGAGCCGCCGCTTCTTCACACTTGTATTTTTGTGTGGTGGGCAGTGCACCAGTTGTTCCTATATCTCCTCCCGACAGACGGGGACAGGGGCGGGAGCGCAGAAAAATCAGCAATGAAAGGGGACTACTCAGTGCTACAGGATGCCCCTAAACTAGGGGGAAGTTCTTTATGGGGCCCAAAACCTGTGATTTCCGTCTCTCACAGTGGGCCTCCTATTCAGAGAGCCATTTCAGGGACAAATGGACAGGTGGGTAGTTCTGAGACTGGTTCAGAGGACTATCCCAGTTTTCTTTTCCGAAGTCAGAGTGCTCTGCCCTATTTCTTCCTCTTTAGCGGGAAGTAGTGAACGTCAGCCCAGAGCTGAAGTAGCTACTGCTGGGTTGAATGGGGCCCTTGGAAGAGAAAAAGGAAGCTGTGAATACTTAGCAGGCAGGTTTGCCCAGGAGATGAAGGGATGTATCAGGGACCTTTAAAGTCTCAGGCGTTGACAAGACTTATACCCTGGGCTGGTCTGGGTTTCTTTTCATTAGTCCCCTCTTTACCCCTTTCTTTTCCAGGAAGCTTGGGCAGCCAGGTGCTCAGATGTCTTGGGGGTTAAGAGTGAGGGAGGCAAGTCTCCTTACTTTTGGGGGCAGGGGATGGGCGATGTTCATTGGGAATGGAGCCTACAGATGAGATGGTTGTACTCTTCTCAGGATGGAGGCAGCAATCCATGCTTGAGAAAACCAGGAATGGGGCTGTGGGGTCTGTATCCTCTTAAGCCCCCTGCAGAAGGTGATGGGGGCATCTGGGAGCACAGGTAGGAGATGCCCTGGAGATAGGCCCTGGCTTCCCCACAGCTGCTAGGACTGCAGACTGCAGTGAGGGAGTATAAGCATTAGCTGTCTATCTGGGAGAAGGAAAATAGGCCCTAGATTATGCCTCAGATCTAGGAAGAGAGAAATCTATTTCTGAGCCCCTTCCTGAGACCAGAGAAGACCCCTTTTTGCTGTCACTGGTTTAGCTGTCATTGGTAATGGTCAGTAACCTAGCTGTCTTCCTAAAAACCAGCGATCATTTAGTGTTTTACTTTTTGAGAGATGGGGGATCTCCTTGACACTTAGGAGTTTCTGGGAGGATGAGTAAAAGGGGCGAGCGAACCTGCGTTAATGAATCCCGTAAGGAACTGCGTTTCCCAGGAAATTCCTGACATTTTTAGCTCGTGAATTTCCTAAAGCCTGCTTGGTTTTCTCCATTCTGGGTCCTTCCAGAGAGGAAGAGTGGGGCTAGGGGCTGAAGGCTCGGCTGGGCCTGGTTTATCCGCAGAGCTGGCCGGCAACCCTGGCTGGGCTCAGCCCTGAACTGGGTGCCCCCCTTCCCCAAATCTCGGAAGGAGGAGGGGGAGGCAGGCGGGCAGTCTTGGTCCCAAAGGGGGCTCTTTGAAGGTTTTGGGGTGAGTGCGGGGTTTCTTTTTGATTGTTGGTTGGGGAGAAGGGCAGAGCCAACGGAAAAAGGCACTGCGGGCACCCCGGCCCTGGTGCGGCTGCCGTCCTCTGCTCGGCTCCCCCCTACCGGTGAGTGCGCCCGCCCGCCCGACTGTGCGGGGCTGCGGTTGGGGGGAGGGGGGAGCGGGATCATCTGAGGCCAGAGCCGCTGTCGTGCGCGGGGAGGGGGAGCGGCGGGAGCGAGGGGAGGGAGAGGGGAGGGACAGGCTAGGTGTCTGGTGCTCCGCGCCACTGCTGCCGGCGCCCCGTCCTCATCCCTGGCAGCCCCTTCTGCAGCTAAGGGTTACAAGCCGCACCACCTCTTCTCTTCCTCGGCCGCCCCTGCGGCCAGGGCTCTGCGGTAGGAGACGGCCCAGCCAAACGACGGGTGGGCCTGTCTGGGTTTGGATCTGGGTCTGGATGGGGCCCGCAGAGGAGGGGGTTGCCGTGACTCGGTGTCCCCTCTGCAGCAGTTCGACTGCGCTACGCAGGCCCCTCCTCCTACATCCTCTTTGGGGTCACTGGAAAACAGAGCTCAGGCCCGCTCCCTGTGCTTAGTATGGCAGTCCCCTTCCTACCCCAAGTCCCCCAACTCTCGGGGCCGAGGCTGCCCAGGGTCTGGCCAACAGCGACAGCTACAGTGGTGGCGGCCGTGGCGGCAGCAGCTGCGACGCGGCGCGTCCGGATCCCCCCCACCCCCCAGCCAGGGGTGTAGGGTGAGGGCCGGTGGGTGGGCGCCGCCTGGCGGGCGGGCGGATGGGGGACTGGCAGCGGGGAGGGGGCACGGGTCACGTGCCGGCGGGCGGGTGGGCGCGTACAGTAGGGCGCCCTGCTACTGTACTGGGGAGTCAGTGCCCTGTTACCGGGTCTCGTCTGTCTCGTCTCTCCCGCAGATCTCGCGAGAGTGGCTGACTGGCTGTGGGGGTTGCGGCGGCAGCAGGCGGAGCCGGGGAGGGAAAGCAGCGGCGGCTGAGGCGACTGAGGCGGCGGCGGGCGGAGCGGCAGGCGGCGGCGGCGCGGCGGCGGAGGGGCCCCGGGGGGGCTGCAGCACGAGACGCAGGAGCTGGCCTCCAAGCGGGTGGACATCCAGAATAAGCGCTTCTACCTGGACGTAAAGCAGAACGCCAAGGGCCGCTTTCTAAAGATCGCTGAGGTGGGCGCGGGCGGCAACAAGAGCCGCCTTACTCTCTCCATGTCAGTGGCCGTGGAGTTCCGCGACTACCTGGGCGACTTCATCGAGCACTACGCGCAGCTGGGCCCCAGCCAGCCGCCCGACCTGGCCCAGGCGCAGGACGAGCCGCGCCGGGCGCTCAAGAGCGAGTTCCTGGTGCGCGAGAACCGCAAGTACTACATGGATCTCAAGGAGAACCAGCGCGGCCGCTTCCTGCGCATCCGCCAGACGGTCAACCGGGGGCCCGGCCTGGGCTCCACGCAGGGCCAGACCATTGCACTGCCCGCACAGGGGCTCATCGAGTTCCGCGACGCTCTGGCCAAGCTCATCGACGACTACGGAGTGGAGGAGGAGCCGGCTGAGCTGCCCGAGGGCACCTCCTTGACTGTGGACAACAAGCGCTTCTTCTTCGATGTGGGCTCCAACAAGTACGGCGTGTTTATGCGAGTGAGCGAGGTGAAGCCCACCTACCGCAACTCCATCACCGTGCCCTACAAGGTGTGGGCCAAGTTTGGACACACCTTCTGCAAGTACTCGGAGGAGATGAAGAAGATTCAAGAGAAGCAGAGGGAGAAGCGAGCTGCCTGTGAGCAGCTTCACCAGCAGCAGCAGCAGCAGCAGGAGGAGACAGCCGCTGCCACCTTGCTGCTGCAGGGTGAGGAAGAAGGGGAAGAAGATTGATCAAACTGAATGGAAAAAACCCACACACACATGCATACACACACACACACACACACAGCCACACACAGAAAAACTATACTGTAAAGAAAGAGAGAAAATAAAAAGTAAAAAAGTTAAAAAAAAAAAAAACCTGTTAACTCCAAGGGAGCACCACCCACAGAACCTCCACCAACTGACAGTTTCTCTTCTTGACTTGCCACCCATCGCTGGATGTTGTCCACTTTATCCACCATATAAAACAGTAAGCAGCTGCTAAAAACAAAAAAACAAAAAAAAATACAAAAAGTAATAACATTATATGAACTGTGTTTCCTACTTGATTAAAAAATATAAAGAACTGAGTGTTTATTTCCCTAATTAACCAAGAACTTTTGTACACGTTTAAGCTATTATTATTAAAAGTGTTTGCAAAATGGTCAAGATTATAATATTGCTGAATTATATAAAAGTCCTTTTCATGTTGAGCTAACATTTGACTTTAGCACAAAAAAGAGATATTTTAGAACACGTAAAATAATATTTTTAGTTTTTCTCATTTTGTTACCAAATTTCAAACCTTACATGGAGGTTATTATAGTATATTTGACACCCTATATACCTGTGATTAGAGATGTGTATATATATGAGGGCTAGGCATGCTGTGTGTCTGAGCTTTGTCTAAATGTTATGCAGAAGTTTGTAGAGTTAAAGGTACGTAGGTTTAATTCATGCAAGGTAAACAATAAGTGCTCTCTTTTATACAATATGCATTGCATCTGGACCTTAAACATATAAAAATGGTCAGTGAAACTTCTGTGAACATGAAGAAATTATTAAAAAAGGCATTTAAATGAAATTTGCTAAGTTGTGATTTTTACGGTTGGAACCAAAGTTATTCAAATAGTAAAAGAAAAAAGAGAAAGAAAGAAAAGGAAATCTCCCATAATATTTTTCTGCATCTGTTTGCTTTGAGTAGGCATTTTGTCATTATTGTGTATATGAGATGTACTTGTATCGTTCATAATATATTTTTTTTATTATGTGTAGAAAGATTTTAAAAACTTAACTAACGTGCAGCAATTTCCAGTGAACCTGTACTTGGACATCAGGTAGTGAGTCTATTTGTGGTCACTAGCACTGTCTCCTAAACTTGTAAGAGGTCTGAAGCTATCCTTTGATTTTTGCCAGTGCTATTAACTTATGTAGACCTGTTAACAAGCAGAGCAACACAATTATAGTTATCCTACTGAGCCATGGATTCTGAGCTTCATTTTAAAAGTGAAAGCCAAGTTGGTGTATGTAAAGGATTTCCATGTAGCTGTGGTGCTAGTTATTACTGGCTACATTATATGCTAAGTGTATTTGTGTTCCCCAAGTGTACAAGCCTTCTATCAAAAGTATGTTCTATAACTCATATATTCAAGGTGTAGGGTATGAAAAGCAAAGCCTAGGAGAGCACTTTACCAAGCTGGTGTCCTCCAAACTGAAATTGTTTGTAACGATAGTCTTTTACAGGTTTTCATTTAAAGATGTTTGTGTGCTTTTAATTGACAACTAACTTCTTGCTGCTGTATAGTAAAATATTAATATATTTTTATCATTAAACTGCTGCATGACTATCATCTTTGAGTGAAGAGAAAATGTTATAAAAAAAAAGATGCCTTAAACAGTACATTTTGGTTTGGAATTCTGTAGAAAGTATTTTGGTTTTAAAAAAAAAGGGGTCTTGTCTGACATAGAGAGTTCTGGGGATAGAATTGTTATCTTGGCAAATCCAGCCATATAGATGATCTAACTGCTGTATGTAGAAGACACCACCTGTAGGAGCTGGAAGGTATCAGTGCTTCTCACATTGTAAAGCATTGGCCTAGGAAGGTGAAACAGTTGCCTTTTTGAAGGATTTTTCTTTCTGCTGGTTCTTTGGGTTTTGATTTGGTATTTTTAAGCTCCCTGGTTGAGTGTGTTGTCTTTGTTTTTGAGATCTACTGTATGTGTTGAATAACAAGCTATTTCCATTGTACTGTGCATTTTCCCATTAAATTGTTTGCTTTTAATATTCATACAATGTTTAATATGAGGTGACCGTACAATAGTTAGGAGTTTCTTTACTTACAAAATCACTGGAAATGATTAAATTGCTTTTCCCCTTCCCCCAAGGTGCATTTTTCTTATTTCCACATAGTAAAGTTGAGCTTTTACAGTGCATAATGTGACATTTGGAATGCTTATCAACTGCATGTAAACATTAATAACCTGCACTTTTTTGTCTTAAGGTTTGTTGAGCTGTTTTGTTCACTGTACTTTAACTGTGATATGGAAAAGACTGCATTCTCTGTGCTGTTATTAGTTAGGAAAGAGAATTGCTTTGATTTTGTCTCTTGTTTACTATAGCTTCTTAAAGTTAAGCCTTGTACTACAGGTTGTTGGAGTACTCCTAGATCAGTGTTTCATAGTAGCCAGCAATAAGTAGTGCAAGTCAACAAAAACACAGCAAACTTAGGCAAAGTGTCCTTTCTTTGAGATGCGAGTTCTTTCATGAGGTTTTCTTTAGGGTCCGAGTTACCTAAAGTGAAGCCTTTCATAGCTATAGACTTCAGATTCTGCTTGGAATCCTACCGGATCAAGAAGCACATGTATTGTGCAATTATCTTTACACTATAACAGTTAAACACAATCTTACTAAGATTTTGAAACCAGTGTCTGATTTATGGTCAGTGGATTTTAAAAGAAATCCACATTCAGATCTTTTAAGACTTAAAACGTGATCATAGAAAAGACTAATGACTGTAAAGATGCTCTTTTTTTTGCATCTCACTTTACCTCCCCAAGTACCCCCAACCTTCCCTTTTCCCTTCTCCTGTTTCATCCTTTTTCCACCCTTCCCCTCAGGTGCTCGGTACTTTACCAAGGTTCTATAATTCAGTGTTTTATGTTGGAGTTTTTCCTTGTTTTTATTTTACTAGTTGGTAAACCCTGTTTGTGCTGAAACAAAAAAGGAAATGGTATATTTGACCATATGTGTTATTCATAGAAGACAGTATGATCAAATGTGCCAAAAACATGTAAACAAAACTTAATTCATGACAAGTATGCCTTATTTTTAATGATCTGCTTTGTCTTACAGTTAAGGTCCAAGAGCTTGGTTAAACTATACTATTTGCCTAAGTATAAAAGAACACTTGAAA